GCTCTCCAAAACCAAGCTCCTAGTCTTCCCCCCAGCCCGCGCACCCCCCCCCCCCCCCCACTGACTTCTCCATCACGTCCAACCGTGCCACCATCAAGCCCACCCCGCAAGCCAGAGTACTTGGTGTCATATTAGACTCCAATCTATCCTTCCAGCCCCAAGTCCAATCGCTAACAAACTCATGCAGACTCCACCTCCGCAACATCACCAAAATACGCCCATTCCTAACCCCAGAAACTACTATGCAGCTCATCCACTCCCTCATCATATCACGACTCGATTACTACAACTCCGTTCTCACTGGCCTGCCCCACAACAGGCTATCCCCACTTCAGTCGATCCTGAATACGGCGGCCAGATTCATCCACCTTACCAACCGCTCCGTTTCTGCCACCCCCCTCTGCCAATCCCTCTACTGGCTTCCGATTGCCCAACGGATCAAATTCAAGCCTAATATCCAAATACCACCCAAAACGCACTCTCCGCTCTTCACAAGACCTCCTTCTCTCTAGTTCCCTCATCTCCTCCTCCCGTGCCCTCCTCCAGGACTTCTCCAGGGCATCACCCATCCTCTGGAACTCCCTACCCCAATCCATCAGACTATCACCCACTCTCCTCTCCCTTAGGCGCACCCTAAAAACCCACCTCTTCAGGGAAGCCTACCCCACCCTCTGCTAACTGCCGATCTCCTCCACTCTTCTTACCACTCCATCCCCCACAGCTTTTCCTCCCGTACCACTATCCCCTCCCTTCTAGATTAAAAGCTCCAAGGAGCAGAGCCCTCGAACCCCTCGTGTATCGCACTGTATTGTTATTGTACTGTCTCATGTATTGTCCCCTATTGTAATGTACAGCGCTGAGCAAACTGTTGGCGCTATATAAATACTGTATAATAATAAAGTATGGAGAAATCCATTCTGGCTGATTCTATATGCCTTGCAGTGATGTATAGCCTACATAAATGTGAGACAGTGTGGGCCCATCATTGGTTTCAGCAGGGATAGACAAATAGCAGGAAGCAATTTGTTTTGTGTGGCTTGAGAACAGGGATGTTCAATCTATATCGCCTGATGCCTGGGGCATGCAGTTCCAAGCGCCGGGCAGGTAGGTTTTTTTTTTTTTTTTTTTTTCTTTTTTAGCCATGCTGCGGGCAAACAGCAGGGCTCATCTGTCAGGTGGAAGCATTCGGACAGCAGCGCTACCACCCGATTGCTTCCGCAAACACAGCCCACTGGTGCCAGCCTCCGCCCCCCTGCCTGTTTTTTGTCCCGGGCTCCGTTTGCCCATCCAGTCCCCTCCCCTTCTTGACCTGACAGCGATGCAATGTCACTTCCGGTTTCCCGTTGACAGATTCCCGGCCGAGGCCGGGAAAGAATTTAATGTGGTGCGATGTGCACTGCATTACATTCAGTGGAGCACAGGGGAGATATGCAGGGTCTTTTAGACCCTGGATGTCTAAAAAAAAAAAAAGAGAACCAGTCACCAAAAATCATCACATTGAGGACTTTTTGCCCCCTACGTGATAAAAAAAAAAAGTAAAGCAAAAGTAGATTTACACCCACACATATAACCGCCCCCCCACATATGTTCGCATATACAAACGTAAAAGCGCTGGGGCGCCTGCACATGAAAACAACGATTGCAATACATGGGACGTATCTCTGCGCACACCGGAGTGACAGCAATAATTCTAGCACCATACCTCCTCTGTAACGCTAAACTGATGACTTCTAAAGGGCTTTAAATGCGTCACCTATAGAAAATATAGGTTACTGATGTTTGTTGCCATTTCACAAGTGCGTGCAAATGTAAGTTTTGACATTTTGGATATCTATTTACTCGATGCAACCTCATCTTTTATATTTTACAAAAAAATGGATAATTTATTGCTTTTTGTGCCCTAAAACCTTTGTGATAATATCATGTGATATAAAAAATTGGAACCACCGCTATTTTATTCTCTAGGGTCTCTGATTTCAGAAAATATATAATGTTTGGGGGTTTTGTGTAATCTTTAGGCCTTTAAATAATTTTTTTAAAATATGAGCTCTGGCAGTGAAAGTGATCAAGGATAAGCCTGACACTCCCCTTTCCTGATGAGCAGCCAATTGGTGCTCATTACACTGCAAGGCCTCTCCACTCCTTGCTAGACCCTGGGTGTGGTGCTGGAGACAGGCAGGGAGGGGAGGAGGAGGAGATAAACAGCGCAATGTTCTTAATGTGAGACAGCTTGTGCTTGTGTACCTGTAGCGCATACAGTAGTAAACTTTTGACAAGAGTTCTAACTCTTCCAAACTATCCAAATCTTAAAAAAATATTAAACAGTATCTTTGTGAGCTCCATAGTTGAAAAGTTGGCATTATATGCTGGACAGTCTCTACAGGTGGCTTTGCAAATTCTTGACCGTTACCCCGATTTTTGGGGACTCCAGGTCAATTGGGGCACATCCTACATATTACTTATAGATGCAGGAGCCCGAGCAGTAGCGGACTCGTCATTGCCCCCTTGAATGGAGACATTCCATAAGATACCTGGGTACAGGACTTGACAAATCTGAGGTGCTAGGTCACCATGGCGACTAGAAATTGCATCCTGGTGCCTGTGCTCACACACTGCCACCCATAGACTTCAGTGCAAAGTCACCTCCCATTGACTTCAGGTGCCATTATTTTTCATGGTGCCTGAAACGCGGTGTGTTCTTGCATTGCAGATCGCATCGCATGACGCTTTTCGCCCAAAAGATACCTTGCCCCGGGCGCTAACAACACATACTACAACCAACTTTTTTAGCTGGCTCATTGATTCAAAGCAAATTTGTCAAGCCCTGTTTGGGTATTAATATCTCATTGAATATTACTGATTTTCCTAAGCAAATCTGTATCCCCTGTCGGCCCCCACTAGACAAAAATTGAAAGCCTGGGATAATTTACCTTTGTCCCTCCATAGGTAGAATTAACCTTGATAAAATGAAGATACTCCCTGTTTTTCTTTTTGTTTTGAGACACTCGCCTGTATGGATTCCTAAAACATTTTTTAAACAATTTGACTCACTCCTATCCATGTTCTTGTGAAAATCCTGCCCCCCTCGTTTTAATAAATGTAGACCTCCTACAGAATTATTTTTTTGCTGCAGTCCTCGCCCATGCACATACCTGGGTCACCTCTGATAACACGAATTCCTCTGTGGTCCTAGAAGCAGCATAACTGGGCTGCTGTGAAACTCTGCGCCTTCTCCCTTACAGGGGCCTCCGAGCCCCATTCCCACTCACTCTCCATGCAGGCAGTGTCCAAGGCCCGGTGGTCCACTGTGCCTCAATGCACTGCCAAAGCCCCTCAGTGGTCCTCTCACACCCCACTTTGGTTTAATCCTACCTTTCCAAAATTCCAGTCCATTCCTGATCCAATTGTCTGGGCACCCAGGGGCGTCACGATGCTTGGTCATATCTGCACTCAAGGTGTTCTAGCAACATTTCTAGCAACACAGCCTGAAGCATCGCTTTAGCCTTCCTAACTCCCATTTCATTCGGTAATTGCAGCTCCATCATGCCTAACATTCTCAATTTGGAGCCTCTCAGATAGCTATAGCAATCTCAGATGTGGAAAGTAGTATACTCAGGGATGACCCCTTGTCCAAGCCAATGTCTGTGTTGTATAAAACTCTCCTGCCCCCTGAACACGTTGGCATGGAGCGTCTCCACTCCACATAGCAGGCAGATGCTCCTGATATTGGTGATGAGGACTGGGAGGATCTATGGGATTACCCCTTTTCACAATTGGTGGCTTGTAGAGACAGGTAATTCAGTTCAAATGATTGCACAGGAGGATTTGACACCACACATAGAATATAGCCTGAAGTTTCTCCCCATTGTTTTAGATGCACGGGTAAGCCTGATAATTTTAATCTTTTTTTTTTTTTTTTCTGGTCCGAGGTCACCAGTTGCTTTTGCTCATTTGACTACTGTCGATATCCCCCTTAGTATTGACTTCTGTTTGCTTGGACTAGTGGGCTTCTGTAAGGTCTGTGCAATACTAGCCATCACCAGGGTCGGTGGATAAGATGCATTTTCTCCTGTTTTTGTAATGCCTCAATCTCTAGTTATTGGATACTGTGGAAGACGATACATTTGCTTACGGCTGTTTTGCTGTCAAAACCTCTATATAGCGCTGCGTGGATTTTGGGTTAGAACTGTTTTATTGTTTTGTATTACCTCAAGCTGGGGAATGCCCTAAAGCTTCAAAGCTAATAAAAAGAAAGAAATTAAAATGGCTTTAGACACACTTCAACTTTTATTTTTTTCATAGTTTTTAGGGAAACAAAGAAACCTCCTTTTAATTGGATATAATTTGACCCCAGGGACTCCAGCCATTAGTGTTTTTCAACCCATTGATTTAAGCAGTTGAAGCTGTGCCAAGCATTGTCAGCCAGGAGGTGAATTAATTCAGGTGTTAGAAAAAGAGCTCAACAAAGCTGAATAAAATAAGGGCCTTTTAACACGGGCGGACTCTACCAAGTGGACCCGCCTGCTAAGCAGGATATCTGTCCGCTGATCCCCACTGAGAAAGCGGATGACAGGCCCGTGTCCACTCCTCTTGCGCAGAGTGGACACAGACACAGCTCGCTGTTCTCAATGGGATGGTGGAATGTAAACTGACTGGTGGTCATCCGATCCACTAGATGAATGGGGAACAGATTTCCCCATCCCTCAGTTTTTATGGGATCGGATGAGGCTGGTGTAAACGGACACAAGTCCGCTTACATCTCCTTCCCCATAGAGAACAATGGATCGTCCAATCTGGTTTGCCAGAAAAACCAACAGGCAGACGCAATCAGTCTACCTGGGTGAAAGGAGCTTAAGAGGTACCTTGGAGCCTGTTTCTTTGCTTTAATGTTCTTCCTTTTCATATTCCAGTAGTGAAGGAGATACAGCCTGTTTTGCAGTTGGAAACACCCTGTGTAAAACTCATGCATATAGTATTTTAATTGTTTTTATGTGTTGCAGAGAGCTCACCCATAAATGGAGTCCAAAGCAGATAGGAGGTCACCTAATCCTTAAAGGGTAAGTTGAGCCTTTACCGTCTCTGAATTTAATTTCCATTAAATGTTTTTTCCTCTTTATTCAGCCATATGAATTTTTATATGAACTGTCAAAAACATTTTTGTGGCTTTAGGTTAATGTTAATGTAAAAGTACATGCAGGCAGCAGTAATGCTGCTAAACATGATAAAGTTTAGTCACAAATATGCTGTTTGTATTTTACAGGATAGTTTATGCAATTGCTACTCCATTCTATTCATCAAGTCTGATTGAAACAGTACAGGTAAGAGTAACTCATTGCTGCAACTCATACAGCAAGATGTATTTATGGCAAATGCAACTAAACTTTCATTTTGGATGCCATTTATGAATTGCAGTGCAGAAGTGTTTATATTGAAGCATGTCACAAGTTCCTAATTAAACAGTTTCTACTTATTTATTTCCCCAGTCCTGGCCAATGAGAAGGATTGGCACTACCACCACCATGCTTCACCATTGGGATGGTGTTTTCAGCAGTATTGTAAGCCTTTAACATAGGGGTTGTTTACTAAAATTGAAGAGTGCAAAATCAGGTGCAGATCTAAATAGAAACCAATTAGCTTCCAACTTTTTTTGTCAAAGCCTAATTGAAGAAACTGAATTTAGAAACTGATTGGCTTCCATGCACAGCTGTACCAGATTCAGCACTCTCCAGTTTTGGTAAATCACCCCATAATGTTTTATTAGGGCCACAAGTTTAGTTTTGGTCTTATTATACAAGAGAACCTTTTTCCCCATTTGTTGTGTAATCTAAATGCCTCTCCACAAAGTCCCAATTGGATTTGATGGGGGTGTTTTTTGCAATAACTTTCTTCATGTTATAACTCTAAAATTGTTTCTGGGTTATAGTTGTCCCTTGGATAGATTCTCCCATCTGCATCTTCCTCAGAGTTAAGCTAGACACACGCTGATCAAAATTCGGCCAGTCCAGGAGAGAGCAGACTTTTGTTAGTTTGTGGGCTCCCCCATTTGACAGAAGATTGTTTATTTACGATTTCTGTTGAAGGGACATGTTGGAAACTTTTCTGTCAGTCAGTGGCTGCAGCCAGTCAGCTACAGCTACTGATCAATGTATTCTGACAGCAGCGAGTGCTACTGTGAAAATACAATGTCCCTGTAGGGGGTATTCCTCCATCCACCTTGCATGTGTGGATGGAAGAATCTGGGTTTTTTTTTCCCTTCTACTCTAGGCAGGGTCATCATTGTGATTATATTTTTTCATTTTTTTTTGTAATAGAGAAATAAATGGGGGATTTTTAGCACTGGTGGTCCTGAACTGATTGACTTTTAAATGCAATTTGATGCACCCTTTTTTAAAGTATGGGTAATTATTCTTTAAGTTACTTTGTATTTGTAAATCGGTTGGAAATTTCTGTGTTTTTCCCTTTAACTTTGTTTTTTTGTGTAGATCTAGGACATCAAATCCAAATTAAAGGCAAAGTGTATGCAAAACTCTTTTTGCCTATAGTTCTATAGATCACAGGGGTGCACTTAGTTCTGAACTCCTATGACCCAGATTCATCCAACAGTGGGCTAAAGCCTGCTGTTGGCTGACTTCACAGAGCCCTTACAGGATCTGCAGGGATCCCAACACCTAATGTCAGGATCTGCCATGATGCCTGGTGAGCAGCTGGCTCAGCCTCTTAGTGCGCCACTGAGAGCCTGAACCAGCCACTTCCGCCGCCTCCACAGCCCTGTGCTTCAGTGAGTGCTGAGGGGGCAGAGCACAGAGAGGTGACTGACAGTCATGGCTGTGTGCTTACTGAAGGCTGAGAACTAAGCGATCAGCTGTCTTTGATCGCTCAGTTCTTGGTGTAGAGGTGGCAGGAGGACAGATGATGTATCTACATAGTTGAGTATAGATGTTTGTTTTTCAAATCCAATATTATTCTGTGATATGAAAATAACTGCAGGATATGAAAATTCTGAGGGTATGGAGTACTATATGTGCTACTATTAAATCTAATTTGTACTTTGTATTTGTAAATTCTTTTGATTATGAAATAGGAAACGCATGCTTGGCAGTGACTTGGAAAGACCTCAGTCCTTTTTTTATTTATGTATTGTCTGCCTGCCATACTTGGTGGGGGAAAAAAAAAAAAAAATAGAAATAAAATCCACTCAATAAACTATTGCTATCGCTCAGTAAACGGAGATGGTCCTGTAAGCACCATAACCAAGCAAATGGGATACTGCAAATAATCACTCATGCAGTTATCCGAATACAATCTTCTTGACAATCATTCTTTAAGGGCTTGCGGGGATTTAGTTTTCCAAATAAAAATGACTCAACTTTTGCACATGCAATAGCTTATTAAGCCCTAGGAATGTAGAACCACTTTTCATTTCACTTTTTTAAAGTATGCCTGAAGGAATTTACTTTTAATTTTGAGTTGAGTTGGGAGGGGTAAAAATCACTTTCTGTTTTCTGCCAGCTATGTCTCATTTATAAGATTTCTCTTGACTTTAGTCCTGTGACTAAACAGAAATGGGACACCTTTTCAATAACAAGGATATCCACTCTTAGTTGTCACGAGAACAATGGTCCTCGTTGCAAGATTTCAAATCTATTGCTTTTGTGGTGGCAACCCAAAATTTTACCCACACTTTCATCCCTCATGACACTGGTGATCAGGGCGATTAAAGGCTGTCAATCACTAACAGAGATAGAGGCAGGAGTAAAAATGTGACGGGTTGTAATTTCTCACCACTCTGCGAATGTTTGCCTTTAGTTGTGAGTTAGCCCATCCAATAATGACATTTACGCTTTTAATTGGTTCTGGCAAGGTGAATCACCCAGCAGCTTTTCTTTTTTTCACTAGTGACGAGATCTTAGCACTACACTGGGGTCTTACCCTCCTTTTTATAATTTTTTTTTTTTTCCTTTATCTTCAGTTTTGAAATATTGCTGAATGGAGAGCTCTCCTTGCTTTACAGGCAGTAAGGAGAAAGTACATAGTTGAGTTCTCCAGATCACCAGAATCTACAAAGAACTGCAGTTTGTTTGGAGTTCACCCCTTTTTTTTTTTTTTTTTTTAAATCCATTTTTTTATAATTATTTTTACACACAGCAAATGAAATACAGACAATGTTCTTTCAGAGTGCACCCTTTTAAAGAGTTAGCAACAAATGTATTCATGTCTTTCTTTTATTATTTTTGCTAGACTTAAATTCATTTTAATTTGTTGTATTTTTTTTTATACACCAGAGCGAGATCATCCGTGACAATCCCGGCATTCTGGATTGTATGAAAGAAGGAATTGGCCGACTTATGGGACTTGGAGTGCCACACAGCAAACGTCTGCTGCCCCTTCTTGTTCTTACCTTCCCTACTGTCCTACATGGTGTCCTTCATTATATAATCAGCTCGATAGTTCAGAAATGTGTTTTATTCTTTATAAAGAAAAGAAATCCTGCCAGAAATCCATCCGATGCCACTTCATCAGCTCAGAACATTTTGGAGGAGTATTTCCCAGAACTCCTAGCCAACTTTGCTGCCAGCCTGTGTGCTGATGTCATGCTGTATCCTCTTGAAACAGTGATGCATCGCCTTCATATTCAAGGGACACGCACTATAATAGATAATACGGACCTTGGCTATGAAGTACTGCCTATCAACACTCAGTACGAGGGCATGAGAGAGACTGCATTAATACTATAAAACAAGAGGAAGGAATGCTAGGCTTTTACAAAGGGTTTGGGGCTGTGGTGGTGCAGTATACTCTTCATGCTACTGTTCTGCAAATTACAAAACTCATTTATTCATCTTTGCTTCACAATACAGCCCAGTGAATAGGACTGTGATGACTTGTACAATGGGTAGAAATGAAAACAGCATGTCATAGCCACCGGTATTTCTTCTCTCAAATTCTGGTCTGGATTCTATATGCTGGAAGAAAATTAATGTTTACATTCATGTTGTAATCTGGATTCACTGTGGGCTTTAATAAAGAATAGAATACAGACCTGTATGATGTAACATACAGAAACCAATAAGAAACTGATGTTGTTTGCCCGACTTCACTAGTTTGCTCAGAACTGAATGATTGCTTGGGTTATGGCACATCGCTGATTTTTGTGCTATGATAAGAGTGGGGATAATTAGTGATGATTATTGTGACAATTGTTCAACATTTATTGTGATATTAACTCTAAAATACAAATTGATTTCTGTTTGGAAATTCTCTGTGTAGGTTTTGGCAGGCTTCCAAAATCAACTATGTAGGGTACATACACTGTCTTATACAGTAGATCTGTGTTTTTGACATGAACACATTTCTAGGCTTATCGCTTTTCTTTACATTAGCACCACATGATGTATACAGTACTTAAAGCAGTATTAAACCCAAAACCAAAAATTTAATGTAAAACAAAACAAAAAAGTGTTGCTGTGAAATACCAAAGAAACTATAACCTATAGTACATCGTGTGTATAATACAGGTAACCACATCCAATAGCATAGTCTTTCATATATCCCATGCAAACTGGTATAAATCTGTAAGTAGATCACAATCTTGAAATAGATCCTCCTGCTGGTGTTTGTACCCTTCTCCCCCTTCTTGGTACTTTACACGCTACACTAGGGCTGGTTCCTTTGTTTTGTGAGTTCCACTTGACAGACCATCAGTTACAGGAGCATTCTTACATCAGTGTGCAGTGGAGGAGAGAGAGAGTTCTGTGACCCATAGAGATGCCCATACTCATCCCTCACAAATGGGGAGGAAGTGCTTCTGACATGTTTTTAATTAAATAGGTCAGTGTGTGGAGGTGAGAGTCCATTTCGGACGCACTATTTGGGTGGTGCATTTTTCCATGGATTGCTGACAGCATCGGGGACAAAGGTACAAACACCAGCAGGAGGCTCTATTTCAAGATTGTGTACTCTGTATTCAATGCTCTAGTACTGATCTTTACTCAGTTGTGTGCAATGTCCCATAGACAACAATGCATCTAATTTCAGATCAGTAAAAAACTCAGCTAATTTTTTATTGATTTATTTTTTAATGATGCAGTCCTTCAGAACTATTATCCAAATTTCAATACCTAGTAAGTCAAAGACTCAATGAACAAGCATGCAGCCAGTGAAATATGTAAAGTCTAAATACATGACCTACATGCACTGTTGGTGACTTAGTATGTAGTGAAACCAGGAAGACCGCCCTGCAGATCCCTGCATAAACACTGTCATATTTTGCAACATTGTATTTCTGTCCTTACAGGTTCAGGTTAGCATGTCCATGTTACCGGACTAATTATTTTACTTTTTTGGTATTTCAAAACAAAAACCATAGTACATTCAAAAATGATGCTGTATTGTGATCTTATATATCTGCTACTATTGCCAATATCATTTTTCTACTGGGTCAGCTTGTGTTCTGGATTTAGTATGCATACAGTTTGTGTTAATTGTTCCGAATCAACAGAATCTCATTCTGTAAAATAATTTAGAAAGGATTGTGTAAGGAGTTGTAATAGTTTGTGGTCTTCTGCCAAGCGAAAAAAAAAAATTATAAGGTTTATCTTAAAGTTAGAAATAGATTTGTGCGTAAGTAAACATTTGGTGTGAAAGGGGATTTCCATACTCTTTTATATAAATATATAAAGGTTGGCATAATTTTCCCAAGTCATTCACCAGCACAGTTTACTTGAGAGTTGGCTCCACCTACACATTAAACACAAAACCTAGATTGTTTAACAACTTGTTGACTGCCAACAGTACATTTACTGTTGGCGAACAGCTCCACCAGACACTGCAATGTACCTGGACACAGCGGAGCTCTGTATCAGGCTGCTGTGATTGGCCCAGAAATCATGTGATTGATGTGTGGTCACATAGTAAACAATAGTCATGAATGGAATCCATTCATGACATTGTTTGCTACTGTGTATGATCTGTGATTAGTCGCCAGTGATCACATGGCACCTGGACCAATGTGATAGCCTTGGGTCAATCACAGCATCACATTAGTAAACAATGAGTCATGAATGAAAGCCATTCCTTGTAGTTTGAAAGCTTACATCACAGTAACAAGCAATCGCAGGGTAAAAAAAAAAAAGAATTCTTGATCACCTGAACTTTGATAATAGTATGTACAAAAAAAAAAATTGAATGCAGCTTATACATTTTTATATTGATTTAGGGCTTTGTTGTTTACAGGACATGGTTAGTACTTGACTTTCTTTGTAGTGATACATTTATTCTAGTGATAGACAAACGAAACCAGCGCTCCAATCTTCATGCAAACCAAGGAATTGCCAAAATGCCAATCGAAGAGGTGCTGCCCTTCTGAGATCGGGAAATCTGACCACTGGTAAATGAAAACAAACAAGGGTGCACTCTCATTGTGCATTACCGTGGTATACCACGTAATCTATTAGATAAAAAAGGATGTATACTCACAAACCAACGTGATTAAAGGCAGTATGAGTGATCCACAAAAACAGTCACGATACAACTATGTCTAATGATGCGGATAAGCTGACGTGTTTCGGGGGCTGAACCCCCTTCTTCAGAGCTAGAGGTGTGTCTGCTGGCCACAAGCCTATATACTAATGGGATGTCAAAAGACACTCCCACCCACTCTCAGCTGACCAAAAAAAAAAAAAGGCAAAAAAGTGACACGGACCCCGAAACAACAACATCAAACATCAATCCGTGTGCTGTATGCAGAGCACATTAGTTAATATGTAATAAATATAAGGTATATTAGAATAGGGTGATCAATAATCAATAAATAAAAAATAAATAAATGAATAAATTGATGCATAGTATATAGTAGATAATTATTAATAAAACGTATTGCAAATGAGTGGATTAATAAAAATAAAATGCTGGAGAAACACTCACCCTTGAACTTGTGACCCTGATGGTAGATGCACTATGTTGACATATTATTATGCCCATAAAAAAAAAAAAATGAGGGAGATATACTGCCAACGCCCGGTGAACGTATGTGTACACAATGGGTACACTAGATAGCACACGGCGTTGTCGCGCCACAATGCAGGGCGGGGGCTGGAAGGGCTCATGATAGTAGTGGTGGTGGGAATCCCACCTCGTCACACTCCATAGGAGTGCATTGCACGTACACCACACCCGATGTAGTGCCCTGCCACATGACGTGAGGCGGGCGCGACGTGACCCGCTGGCGCATGCGCGCCGTGCGCCACACAAAAAATGCCGCGCACATGGTCATGGGTGCCTCGCGCGCACCCAACACTCCAAACAAGCGGGCCGCGCATGCGCACAAAGGTCCTGCATCCCAACAGGAAGAGATGGAAACATATATATATAGATGGATGTATCACCAGGGCTGCGCTGCCAATGGTGGCCAAAAGGGTGTATCTGCAATAACATAAATGAAAAGCCGAAACATTAAAAATAACAAAAAAACCGGAAAGAGAAAAAAAAAAAAAACTAAAAGGCACAGTGGGACACAGGCTGGGTCAGCAGAAACACCTCAAAATGTACATGGTAGAGAATACAAATGACTACAAAAATATGTGTATAAAGAAAGGATGATAAAACAATGAAATTATACAGCAATTAAATATAGTAATAAAAAATATTTTTAAAAAATATACAAAAGTATTCACTGTGTACATTACGAAGTGCAAACCTAATTTTATGGTATAATAGAATAAAATAAATTAAATTAATATGATGAACCGTGTATGAATAACATGGATGCATGGCATCATAGAACACAAGGATATGCTAAAAAAATAATAAATTAAATTAAATTGAAATTAAGAAATATTTTATAAAAAATAAAATTATTGTATACCATTTCCAAAAAGATAATAATAGTATATAAGTGATTCAGCCAGATAATGTATTATATACATGGATAAATGAACAAATAAATAATTAATTTAAATAAATTTAATGGAATCATGTAAAAATATGAACAAGGCAGAAAAAGGGGACAGGAGACTGCACAACAGTTTGCTTGAGGAAAACAGGTCTGACAAGCCTGTGGAGGTTCTTTTGTCTGGTTGTTGGTCAAAGACTTCAGAGTACCTTGTCAACCCACACTCTGGCTGTGCCATAGCCAGTGCAGTGAACTCTGGGAGTTGTGGCCCACTGCTTTGACCTGGGTATTCTCCTCTGGGGCCCAAAGTGTCATAGTTTGGGCTCAAGACCTGCATGAGATTAGCAAATCTTCCACCACCTCCACTGTGTCACAGTACAACAGCCCTTACCCATCACAGAGTCCATCAGGGAGAACTGGGGCTGGCGGGGTCTTCAGTGTGACATGGACTACATCTGCTTCCTTTATGGTGTCCAGGAATACAGTCAAGTGTTGAGTGATGGGCATGGTTAAATTATCTTTTCCCCCCCCCCCCCCTTATTGCATTTACCTGTTAGAGGGTTAGACCACCCATAATTGATCCTTCAAGCATAGGTGGCATTTTGTGTTCTAATTAACTAATTTTTTTGCCCTCTGGAATGACTGCTTTGAATTTACCTGTAGTCATATTGTCAGTTCCTTGTTCTGGGGGGATTTGTCCAGGCCTCATATACAATGTTTGTAACTGATGGTTTAGTTCCTATGAGAATGAGGCTTTAGGAAGTAAGGTGCTATAGGAAATGATCCTACCCTAGAGATACGTCTTTCTAACCTCTTAAATAGGGATGAGCTCCAAACTCATGTTCAGACCAATTTTTTGTTTGTTCGTAGGTTCGGTGAACAGCCGCACTAAGTGGTAGCGTGGCCAAATGGAACCTTCAGCTGCAGAAGGAAGTGATATATTAACAGTGGTATTAATATCACTGCCAAATTTGACA